TTTCCTTTCGTTAATCCGCCCCCGTCTCTCTATCCACCCTCTCGTCTCTCTGTCGGTCGTTTTCGAAGCGATCTCCCCGCCGATGACTTCGCTTCCTCCTTGCCCGAGTGGAAAGATACAAGTGAGAGATATCATTTGATTTTCTCTGCCTTTCCCCCCCTCGCACTCGAGGATGATAATGTTCCTCTGCTTCGAACACAATTGATTCTCTACACATTGGATTTTTTCTGCATTTCGATGATGCAAACGTATGTACATGGAACGCTCGCGATGTTTGAAATTATGTGACATAATTCTACAATTGTACAAACGAAATTTATTATGTAACAACGAATTGATTATATGTTATTTAACCTGAACTTAAATCTAAACCTAAATCTAAACTTATCTTTAACTTAAACATTTTAAAGATAAAATTAGCTTTCAATTATTTCGATATTCAACTAGCTAGGTTTGATAATACCTAAAAAAGGAATATAAAATTTCCTTTACGACACATATCGACACTGATACATCTCTCGAAGTTTTCAACGTTTATTTAAATTGTTCTGGCAATTAATTAAATATCGCGTTGGCGTGACTGAGATTTTCACTTTCAAAATTTCACTTTAATTGCGATTTTTCAAGTTGCGTTGCAGAAGAGCAACTTTCAGTTCCGCTAAGAGAGCAACTTCATGAGCCCTACTATGTAAGTTGAAGGAGAAGTTGGTTCTTTGATCGTTCTGTCGAAAGTTAACCGTGCAGGTTTTCGTTCGAAACTGTATGATGCGAAAGGAATCGCAAACGATTTCCGAAGTATCGTGCTGCTGGTCGCGAAAGCGTGATCAATAGCGTCGGATAAGATCTCATTTAAATCGGATCCTTTTCTCTTGAAAACTTCGTCCCGTTTTCCTCCCCCTCCACAGTCGGTCGTGACTTCGTTCTGATCTTGCTCGATCGAAGCTCGTTACTTTGATGACGTTAGTTTTCGAAAGCTTTCGATAGCTTCATTTTCTTGATAATCGTTGTTTGATATTGTTATAGTCAACGTAATGAGACGTTGTAATACTATGTTATAGTCAACTCGATTTAGAGCGTATAAAGGCAGTATTAAGAATTAAATTGACGCCTGAAAGTGATACTTATCATCTTTTCACAATTATAGTAAGAAATTTGACAGTATTGGATACACCAAACTATTTTATGGTTGGAAGAAGTATTTGCACGTAACATTTAACAATTCATTTTTATAGGATCATATATTTACGATTATATGATAAACTGTGTATATAATACTAGTAAACGTTACGAAATTTAATATTCTTTTAATACTGACAAGATCAAAGACAAGTATAATTATACGTCATTTCATTATACGAGACATACGTAAGATAAACATAGATCTAGTACGCGTGGTCAAACATAAATCAATCATACTGTAATATTTATGTAATAGTATTTAGTATTTACAAGTATAATAATATTTGTGTAATGTGATACTTGTTGCTTACAAAGGATCTTTTATTAAAAAAACACAAGAAAAGAAAGGAGACTAAAAATAATTCTTGCTCAAACATATGATCAAATACGAATCAAACATAATGTCATATTTGTGCAGCGATACTTATTATTAGCTACAAATACTTATTACTTACAAATAATCATTCATTTAAGAAACAAAAGAAAAGGAAGAGATCAGAAATAATACTCAAGGTACAATACTTTTTAGAAATTGACCAGATATATGATGAAAAAAAGTGGACATACATATGATCAAACATAGTCAAACATAATGCACAATACTTATGTAACAGTACTTGTTACTTACAAATACAATGATACATATTACCTACGAGTAATCGTTTGTTAAAAGAAAAGGAAAGGAAAAAAAAAGAGAGGAGACCAAAAGTAATTCTCAAGACGCAATATTTTTCACATATTTTAATCAGACACGAATATCCTACACGACCTCATCTGACATAATGGAATACCCATGTATTCCGGAATCGTTCGTTTTCAGTCACGTTTCGTAAGAATGGCCTTATCGGATACCAACCGCTTAATACTCCATTACGAGGGACAAAAGAAGCGCGAAACGGTAGACAAGCTGCGACCAAGTCGACGCTCTCAGCGAGCGGTTCCTCCGAGCGTTGACTGGAAGTTTCCAGCGTTTCAGCGAGTACACGAGTCGGCACAATGGTGTGGCGACCGTCTGCTAACTGCTCTGAATGTAATTGCGAGTAAATGACCGTGGAACACGGCGCTGTTCCCTTTTTTTTTTTTTTTTCGCGCGAACGACCACGCGCGTTGTTTACCGCCGGAAGAGTTTGTAATTGTGATCAAGAGATTTCGGTGAAAGCGGCTGTGTTTGCAGCGCAGCGAAGGGACAATTAATTTAGAAGACGGTGTGTTCGCGAAGCTCTTTCTTTCCACCACCTCCGCCATTGTTCCATTCAACGCGCGAAGCATTGGCCAATTTCTGCACGTTGCGTTTGTCGCGGCTAATTCCGCTTTTGGATCGAATCTCTCTGGAGAGGTTGTTCAACCGAAAGGAAGGTGACTCACCCGGGTGACATCCACGACACTTTGAGATATAGCCTGTTTCTAAGAAAGAGTGGAAACTTGGATGGTTTCAGGCGGCTTCGAGCGGAGGACATTTATAGAATCTTGAAGCGTGTTCATTTTTGCAGAGATCATGAAAATTTGAGCGCGACGGGTCCTAAATTCTCGCGAGACGCAGACACAAGGAATTTCAATTACAATTCTAATTTTATTTCGACTAGTTTTTTTTTTCTTTTTTTTTAAGCAAGGTTGCGTCTCGAGAAAGAAGAATTATTCAAAATTCAGTTACTGCATACTATTTCAGAAACGAAAGGGCTCCAAATGTTCAAATATAACTGCGTAACGATCAAACGAGGTTGAGTTTATCGCGAGTTTGTTTTTTAATGAAGTTCTACACTTCATTTTCATTCAGTAATCGTCAAATCTGAAACTTCGAACATGTTATTACGCATGTTCGAATCTTTTTACACGGCACAGAAATTCTACAACAAGCAACATTTATTGGTTATGTACATTTGTACATTTTGAATATCAGAACAAAACTCGTTTCGAGAGGAAAGAGACAAGAACTGTATTATAAAGTAGCGCGAGACGGGAATGAAAATCAAGTTTGGATAGCATAACGGAGGCTCGTTAGTCGGAGATAAAAATCGCCAGAGTCGAATCAATTCGTCGATGCAGCAACGTCGGACGTTTTCCTCCGATTCGAATTCATTTTGTGATGCAACCGGGCTCCTCCTCACGGAGGGAGCTTTAATTTCGTCGAGTGATCGCGATTAAACGCGATTTTTCAGCCGAAGTAATCTACGTTTCTCGAGAAGCCGAGCAGTTAGATCATTTTCCACTAATACACGAGCGATTTGTTCGTTGGTCGAAGCGATAAAGGTCGTTTCTCAAGCGGACGCGAACGCCCGGCACTCGAGTGGACCGGATTCTTACGAACTGCAATCTTTTGTGCAAATGGGGACGAAATTGAAGCTCTCGGAATAAATGGGCCGTCATCTTGCACCCTTGTCATCGTACACTGACAATCAGATCTCGTCACATTTGAACTGCTACCCGTTTGTAACCTGTGTTTAAGCCTGTCTTTTTGCTGTTCGAACGGAGTCGATCAGTGTACCATTTATCGAAAAGGTCGTACGTTCTTTGGCCAATCAAGTAGAAAAGATTTGTCACACAGTTTTCTTTAAAATCGCGGTTTCATGCGTAGATAATCATTCTTAATAACTGGTAATTTTATTATTCAGGGAAGAAGGAAATTTCTTTTCAATCCTCTTTCAACAAAATGGTGTATATTAATTTCTTTTACGCAATTTTTTTTCTACACTGTAACTTTTTTACATAAGAAGATAGAAGAAAATGTTGCTATCAATAATTTACAAAAAAAAGAAAAAAAATGTTTTTTAAAGGATTAATTTAAAGAAAATTCTCCTATTAAGCTCTTATTAATATCAAGAAATGTACTATTAATATCAAAAATCCACTAAAAGATATATCGACTCTTATTCTCCGTGTCACATTCACAACGACTCGTCCGTTCGAAATTTCCTTCGAATGGTTCGAAGAAACCCAGATCGGTTTCCTACGAAATACGTTTCGCCAGAACTTGCACTTCCTCCTGCTAGCAGGCACCTTATCTTCACGAGGGCCAGATGAAGCATAAAACTCGGCAAAATCCTATCGATATTTACGTCTTGCTGAGCGAAGCGCCGCATCGAAGAATAATCCCGAACTTTCGATCAGGAATCACATTAAGAGCATTAAAGATCTATCAAACTTCTGGCCAGTGCCACGATCAGTAAATATCATTTTGGCAAACAACAGTGAAATCAAATTCTGGATATTTGGGGAGGCAGGATTGTCATCTCTAATTTCTTTCTTTGAAGAATTACTGAATTTTAAACTGATTCGCAAAAGTATTTGAATATTTACCATGGGAAAATTTTATACGTGAAGAGCATAGTACAGCATGGTACGACTGTACCGGTGATAAAAAATTATCGATAATTTAAACTGATATAGCTTTGCAAAGAAAGATCATACAATGATCTGTTTGGTTTCATTCGAAAGCCTTTGCTCTCACAGTCGTCAGCTCGTGTCTTTCTTTGACGATACTTTTTTCTCGAAAATTGTAAACATTTCATCGCGCGTGAAAACGTTGAACAATTCTTTTTCATGACTGAATCTACTGTGATCTCGAAGATTGGAACTTTCTCTTTGCGACGCACTCTTGAAGCTTGCTGTACGATTTTCTCTCTCTATTTCATTAAACTTTGAATATCAAGGGTAAATGGCAGAAATCTAAGAGACGTGAAATTCTGTTATATATTTTATGTTTAGTTGTATTTAGTTGTATTTCGATTCACTGATTGGTACGAGATTGATTGAGAATTTAATCTGAGCATTCCGATTAATCCTACGATTTATCACAGAATATTGTTATACTTAAACACTTTCACTTTGAACGAATTTTAATCATCCCCAGATATCACATATCACACGAGAACCTAAAATCTATCCCTCAAACGCGGCAATCTCTCCGGCCGTTCCCATAAACCTACCCCAACATCCAACTCGAACGCAGTATCGGCCTTGCGAATCTAGCGGTCACGCGATCCTCTTTCGGCCGCCCACTGAAAACTTGCGTCCTTATCGTCCCGAACGGACCGGCTCGGCGCAAGGATATCAATGCTTCGCCGCGTGTCTCGAATATCGTAGCAGCCACCAACCGTGGCCGAGCTACGGTATTTACGAGAAGTTGTAGCTTGATCCGACTGCTGCTATCGATAACACTCGGGAGGCTTTTTGCCGCGGTACAGAAGTTTGCATGGCACGCTCCGCCGGTCCCGATGAAATAGAAGTCCCGGATACCCTTTTTCGGCTTTGCCGTGACGCAGTTCCACTCGAGTATATCCGAGGTAGAACTGCATTAAGAAGTTGGTGGACGGCGGCGGCTGCTGCGAGAGCCGATATCCCTTCTCTGCTCGCCTCCTCTTGCATGCTCTCTGTCCGTTGCTTCTTCTTTTCGACGAGGATTCGAACGACGACGGCTCCTGGTTGACGATGGGGACGCGGTTCAATGTGTATTTGATTCGAGATACTCGAATTCGAGGTTTCGTTTCATCACTCGGGAATGTAAAAGTGTTTTGCAGATTGTACTCAGTTTTATACGAACGCGTAATGAATTCATTTCGTATCAGTTCTATGGGTACAAATATGAATGATAAATATATATTATACAGTCAGATGAATAAATACGCGATACAAACTCGAAATAAATGGAATATGTCGTTTAGAACGTCTCATTTTTAGATACACAATTATCTTCAATATTTGTTAAGGAAAAATGTTTCGAGTAAAACTTACTTTGTTTCGTTTCATTAGTCGAAGGAAAATATTATAGTTTCATTTGAGAAAACAAAGATCACTTTTGAAGTCTGGAAAGCACGTTCACCTAGACAAGATTTGTGAAAAGATGCCCCTCCCAATTCAAAGTCAATACGACGAATAGTTTAGGAGATAATTGCGTAGGATGTTTTAAATGATATATATATATATATTTCAAATCTTATAAGCATCGAACTAATCGCGAGTACACTGGTCAGCTTGAATGAGCAGCCGCGGCAACAAAATTGTGTTCACGTGTAGCTCGATGTTTGTGAGATTCGAAACTTTCAGAAATCTTGTTAAAGGACCCAAAGAGATATTCAAAGATCGGTTGCATCGTTTCTTTTCAGTTCTCACACAACATCTTTGAACGTGTAATTTTCCACAAGCGTGTCTCACACACTTACAGTTTGAATAATTGTTCGAACCTGCTTGTGAACCTACTCGCTCCCATCTCTACTCCTGGTCCCTGGTGGACGCCACGTCAACGCTGGCTAGCGGAGGAAAAGAACTTTCTCGTTGCAGTGTCGCGACTTCTTTCCCCCACCGTGTCGCCGGTCCATGGTGGTGGGGGGCGACGTGACTTGACCGTGGCGTGACCACTGAATTTCAATGCGACTATGCGGAATCCATCCGACAGTCGTCGGTGTACTCTACTGGATATCTGTATCGATCGTTGACTAGCCGGCATCAAAGCAGTAAGCCATCCTCGTGAATATCGATGTCGAGCGTCTTTTAAAGTGCACTCTCTCTTTTTTTTTTTCAGTCCACCATGACGATAAGTAGTGTTCAAGAGTTTGAAGAAGTTCAATTTCGTACAATGTCTACTATTTTATGGATGGTGAGACATTTGTTGTTACTTAGGTTTTATTTCTTTAATTAGAAACGATGAGTTAAAAATGTAAAAAAGTCAAGTTATTACATTGGATCGTAATTGTACGTACTGATAAAGTTAGATAAAAACTGTAAGATATTTAGCACGAGTACATAAATCTATTTCCATAAATCTATTTATCGCAAGAGGACGACGTGACTAATTTTTAGATAAATTTTAGAAACCATGTTTCTGGTATCATCACTTTTCTCAATTTATACAGTTAATCAACGCAGCTACTAAACTTATATTTGGCATTTTTTAAATTAAATATAGATAATAAATTTTTTATTTCTCATAAATAATACATTTATCAATTTGTTCATCAATATAGTTTTCACAGAATGACTCATATTTTTTAACAGGAACATCCTGATCACATATTCTACGCACATATACCCGTTACTCGTTGAAAAATCATTATTATTGTGGCAATTATTTTTCATTATTTCTGAACACCGCGTAACTCACGGTACTACGTACAAATTACGCGTATAATTCAGAATGAAGTATAAGCATTAAATTGTTAAACAGACTGTTTCAATTAATTAACGTGCCACGCGTGACGTTAGCAACAGCCTTGTCACACGTTAACTTTCACATCAACGTATCCCATTTTCGGCATGGATTATAATGCACCGTGAAAATAGCGTTCCTCGATCGCGAGACACGCAAGTGCTCATTAACCTAGAAACGTCCTAATAAATTCACCGTGGTTTCCATTTAACTTTTCGATGACGCTTTCCATTGGTCAAGCGATAAAAACGATTTTGATTAACTTCGTATCGGTATAATTCCACAAGGCGTATTAATGACAATATATATATTTTAATGAGAAACGCTGATTTGACGCCTAACTGCCAATAAAATTTACGCGTGTTTCGCTTCTGTTGGAACAACTATTGCTTAATAAACGACGTGTGTGCTTGCAAATAAAATACGAGAATTCTGATCGTCACAAATTACGTCGAACGTGCGATTTAAGAAATTTTGTGACAACTCAAACACGCGTTTCGTAAATTTCCATAAAATGCACGAATATACCCGTTTAGTTCAGTTCTGTATTTATATAACATGAAAATAAATGCATGTACAGGCGAGATTACATTTTAATCTGTCGAATTAGGTTTCGTTGAAAAGAAAACTGGATCTTCGACATTCACGCACTGCGAATTTTTTTACGATTTCTTATCATTTAAGATGTTCTTTCATTTGTTTTTTAACTGACTCGTTCGCAGAAGCATGATGAATAGCTAATAATCTGAATTTTGCAGCGCGTCTCCTTAAAATTTATGTTCAATTCGAGATTTGTTTCAAACTTTGCTGATTATAATAATTATAGTAGTCGCGTTTCGTTAATGAAAACCCCATTTCCTGTATGACAATAAAACTGTTGTGATTGACTCTAGAATTTTTAAAAATATTTTAAAGCTACGAAAATTTTATTGGGACTCTGCAAGTTCCATCACAAAAATGGCCTTTCTTTGCCATAACGAAAATCAACGAAGTCTATAATCTTTTGTTTATTCCACAGATGTCTGAATACATTCATTAGCTAAAACAATTTATAAAATCATCGAAACGATGATTGATTACGAGTTGCAACCGCGCGAATTGAATTCAATCATCATTGCCTATCAGTGCTAAAGAAAAAAAAAAAAAAAAAAATAATAATAAGAAAAAAACAGCTTGAAAATGAACGTACTAGTCGGAGAGCTTCTGCTTGAACCGTAAAAAGGGCAAGAAAATGAAAAGAGAGACTCGTTTCACACAAAAGCGAGCTAAAAGATACTCTTGGGTACAAAGAAAGAAGAAAGGAGGACAAAGAAGAAGGGACTCTGCCTGTGTTTTGCCGGGAAGATCTTCCGTTGCGTAGTGAAGTGAGATCTCTGACTGTCTAAGCACGATAGTTTTGTTCGCCCATTGAAAGGCGGCATTAACCGAGAGATGGAACAAAACTATATACATACACGAACGCGAGCAAAAGAACGCCGCGCCGCATCGCGTAGTAACAAGCATCGCTTCCGCCTCCGGTTTCTCCTCCACCTGGCCTCTCTATCGAAAAGTGGTTAACCTGTCAAGGATGCAGCCCTCGACCATATCGCGGTCATAAAGCTTTGGCTTGATGCCGGCCCTGCGCGTTGTTCTGCGATTGTGACGCCCCCTCCGGATGGAGGAGAATTGAAAAGGAACGAGCAGAAGTGAGACAGGATGGAAAGCAAGAAAAATATAAATAGGAACGGCAAGGCGGGATGGTGGATCGAGGAAAGTGATGTACCGCTTGGATAAATGAACAAGAAATAAGCTTTATTTCCGTGTACGTGCACGGTGTAACGTGAATTGTCTTTTTCCGTGGCAGACACACATACACACACAGACTCATACGGTCTTCTATGAATCCGCGAGTATCCTTTGAGAGAGGGAGTTAGAAATTGTGACGGACGTAGCTGCAGAAACCTTTTTCCTCTTTAGACGAGAGTGCCGTTTGTTTATTTTTCTTGAGAAAACCTGCACGCTTCCCCCTCTAGGTTTCGTCGTGACTTTTCACGCGAAACGTTCAGCGAGTTAAAGGGTTATTAATCGAGGGGTTGCTACTAAATCTTTCGTTGCTTAATTTCATTACTCGCTGGTTTTATCCTTCTGGTAAATATTGTCGTTATTCGCTTGGACGTTATTTTTTGACTTCAGTAGCTCGTGTCGGCGAGAGACAGAGAAATTTCATCTTGGTGTATTTTTGTTTAGTTTGGAAATCTAAATCGTAGATATCTTTTCTGTTGTTTTCGTACGTTCGAAGTTAAAAGATTATTGTTTTCGATGGTCGAAAAATAACACTTGGATTCGAAATAACACGTGATAAAGTGAAATTTCTGATTGGTATACGTTTTAAAGAATTTATTTCGGATAGATTGAAACAATTGTACTGTACGCAAACAGATGTACGTATTTTCCAGGCTCGAATGAATCGATGAAAAAATGTTAACGATATAGAAACACGTCACGACATTTCTGCCGTGTTAAAACGTTCAACTCATTAAGCGATAGAGTGATTTAATTATTTCGTTTAATTGTACGTTTTTGACATAACGTGGCGTAACGTAAATTTCGCACATGAATTCTCGCATTATTGGACGGTTTGATTAACTTTTGTAATGTCCCATGCTGGATTTCAACTTGCTAATATTTGTGCATGTGCACGTTATTAAAATGCGGGGGGGGGGGGCACATGTATTTTCTCAATCGAGTTGAAATAATACGCTTGATTAAACACATAAAATTGTTAACACATAACCGCTAACTGAAAACGATAATTTATACCATAAAATTTCCACTATGATGAACATACGATGAATACAAAAAAATCCATAGAGCCATTAGTACAGGTGTGCGTGCAACGGTGCAATTAAATAAATAAAATTACAAGTTCCAGACTTGTAATCTGAACGTAGAACTGAAATTGTGAAACTCTATTTCCATGCCTTGATTGTTCTTTATACGAGTAATTACAAAAAGAAAGAAAGTGTCACGAACTGATGTGTCCGTGACACACTTCCAATCTCAAATTACAGTTCTTTTTTCTTTTTCCTTTTTCTTTAACAACGCAATAACATGAGAATGTTTGTATGTCTTAAAAAATAAATTTACAAAATGAACGAATAAAGAATTGATTGTTTCAAGAAATGATTGTCTCAGAAAATGAAAATTATATTATCAAACCATAGATACACACCCTCGTTCAGAGATCTTAGGACAGGTACTACTTGTATAATAAAAATAATGCAATAAATATAAATTATAAATTGTATAAATTACACAATATAAGAGTATAAATTATACGGGCAACATGCAATATATAATACAAGTTGTTCTATTTACAATAAATATAATATACGTAAATATACAATAAATGTAAAATATATTTTGTGTGATAAAAACTCTATATATATTATTATATTAAAATACATACATACAATATAATTAAATATAATCAATATAAAACATATATAATACAATGTATAATACAAGTTGTTGTATTTACAATAAATATAATACAATATTTGTAAATTTACAATAAATGTAAAATATATTTTGTATGATAAAAACACTATATATATTATTATATTAAAATACATACATACAATTTAATTAAATACAATCAATATGAAACATACAATGAAGACCTTGTTAATATATTAATATATTGTATTATATTGCATTATATTTGCATTATAAAATATGTAGATACGATAATTCACGATGAGTACTGAATGTTAAAAGATAAAACCGTCCTAAAATACTTTCGAGCTGGAGTGTACATTTTAACAGTAACATTGTAACTGGTAATTACCAAGTATTGAGAGGTTACAAATTATTGCACAACGATTTCATCTACCTGAGAACAAAACTTTTATCACTGTGCCACGTACATTCAACAATCTTCTTAATTCTATTGCGTTCTTTTAACCATTCCCGATCCTCTTGTATTTTTCTTACATTAACAAATGTCTCAAGCTTAAACAAACTGTGAAGAAATCCTGATTGGTATGCAAGGTTTTTCATTTAACTATTTCTTTTGGTTAAACGTTCCCTTAAAGCATCGTAAACTCATTCCC